GCAAACCTGCTGTGCCACATCCTGAACACACTTAGATGCACAGCCTTGCTGCTGCTGGTGACGTCTTAATTGAAATTAGCCTAATTCAGGCCAACAGACAGCCTTATTTACTTCTATTGTGGCACCCACCACTCCATTGTTGCTCCCACTTTGCTTGGTAAAAGGACCTTTTTCCACACTAGTGACATAAGACATTACACAATAACCACATAAATATTTAACACTTTCCTAGGCTATGAAAAGTGATTTTGCAAATGGTTCTGTAGTACCGATACTTCTAGTGGTTTGCTGCTATTCTACCTGAGCCTGACCTAAATATCCCCTTGTCTAACTATGTTTAAGGTTTAAACTGTGTACCAAGCCATGAGTGCTTAATTACAAATTATCTAGATGCCACATATCTTGTACAACTCAGCCTATTTAATTGTTTTTTACTTTGTTAAATGTAGTTCACTGTTCTAAGAGATGTAGGCCAAGTTTATAAATTGTGAACATACCAAGCCAGATACCAGCTTCAAGATGTGTTTTTTCTCCATTTGGCTGGTGATATTCTAGTCAAGCTCCCATTTTAATCATGTGTTTTGTCATGTGATTCAGGTCACTACCCTTTTTTCTTTCTCTGTCTATTCTGTGGTATGCCAGATGCCTGGAAAGTCCCAACAGCTGCTAAAGTCCAGGTGCTTAAGTTGTGGATGAAAGTAATTGTTAAAATGAAAACTCCCTTAAAGGAACACTACAATTTCAGGAACACAAACATTTATTCTGGACATTATAGTGGTAGAACGACAATTTAGGGTCCCAGCCCCTCTCTTTACTTTAAAAAGGTTTGTTTACTCACCTTTTTCCAGCACCATGCTGGTCTTTCAGTGACTGGGCCCGCCTCCATGGCTGAGATTATCAAATTTGACAATCTCCGCCAATCCACTGCATTCCCATAGGAAAGCATAGGAAGGCTATTGCACTTGCGCTGCAAAACACCACTCTGCACCAATCAGCCTCTTCACATAGAGATACATTGAACCAATGCATCTCTATGGGGAGCGTTCAGCGTCTCCATGCAGAGTGAAGAGACGCCAAACACCTAAGCTTCACACTGTGCAGCATTGACCCAGGAAGCACATCCAGTGGCCGTCTTAGTGTTACTAAGCAGTAATGTAATCATTACCTTTTCTCTGAAAAGGCAGTGTTTACACTGAAAAGCCTGCAGGGGCAGGCTATTGACTCCAGAACCACTACCTTAAGCTTTAGTTGTTCTGGTTACTATAGTATCCCTTTAACACAACCAAATCTCCTTTGTATAAATACCTGCATTGGGAGGTATAAATGCCCTGAGCAGTAGACACCATATTGGGACTTTCTTTACATATACAGGACTGTTGGGGAGTGTGCTCTTGCATCCATGTATACAAAGCTCCCTACAATTAGACCCCAGTATGTGTCATGTACAGTTGAAAAGACAAACTAGAGATACATGCTTTCAGAAAAAAAACAAAAAAAAAACAAAACATATTACAAAACATATTTACTAAATGAGCACACACAGCAGGTTCATGTTAATGTGAAAACATTTGACTTCTTATGATAGAAGGAAGCATATGTTAACTACTGATGTTAATGCAGTGGATATTTGGCTTCCTCTGTAGTACCATCTGTATAGCTTTATAAAAAAAAACATCAAGCATGAAATGTAAAGAATGGCTACAATCAATATTGAGGCACACGGGGGAATAGTTCTGTTTCAATTGAGGTGCAAGCCAAATTATTTTGATATATTACATCAGCACCTAGCCGATGTCTGACCATATGCCAAACATGGCTTCTATGCATCTGTACAGTCTATAAAGAAAATATGACCACCTGCCGTGTGTCAGAATTCCAAATGGAAGTTTCTCACAACAAAAGAGAGATCTGCTGTGATGTCATTTCCAGGGACATAATTCATTCCTTTCCTGCATACAAACTCCTTTTTCATTCTATAAAACGGCACAGACTGTATTTTAAAGGGACATGCTTCACAACATATGTTTTACTTTTTCCCTTGGATCGGTAGATCAAGATTTTCGAAATTCCGAAACAAAATGTGTCTGACTTTATAAATGCAGAGCATATGTGTATTAGTGACAGGTAGAATATTGTCATTTGTAACAACTTAGCCTCGTTACATAAAATTAAGATGGAAAATTAAAAAAGAGAAGTCCCTTTAAGGGACTCGGCGGTGTGTTATAGGAACCTAGAGGTGTTAACCCCATAAGGCAATAATGAAAACACTGAAGTGTCTATTGAAAGAGCCAAAAGTCACAATGAGGTCCCTTTTAAATAATCAAAAGAAATAATAAAAAAATCACAGTTTATTGAATACAATTATAAATACAGGGACTATGCAAAAAAAAAAAAACCCCCAGAAAGAACCAATTAAAAAAGCCAATAAGGCTCTGTGGGTAATGAGGGAGGGTAAGTAGGGCATCACTTAAGTGAATCAATGTACATATACAAAGAGCAAAAACTGGAGGAAAGGCTGTTTACTTTTTAGACAGACACAGCATTTAAACAATTATCAGCCCACTTGAAACAAAGTGGCTAGATACACACCCCACTAGTGAATGTCCAATAAACCCTTGCTATAACCCTTGCTATAACAGTCCAGAATGAACCCTTATCTGGTAGCAAATATGCAAGGACATGTCTATGTAAAAATTGAAAAATTATCACTTTTAAACATTTTATTTTAATCCATAAATATATACAATATATGTATTTTATTTCTGCCGTTTAGTCTACTCTTTACAACACATGGGGAGCAGTAGCTGAAAAACACAACCCCATCACAAGCCCCATTATGTATGTCATTGTTTTAGGGTTGTAAACTTGTGTTGAGTCAATTACTTAATTTATCAATAATGTCTAATAGAAAAAAATATGAAATAAATAAATATGTACTTACCAAAATGTTATAAATAAAACATTTGATTTAATGTGTCCAGTTAAAATTTGACAATCATCCTTATTTAGAAATGGCACCCACGTGTCTTTATTACATGGTTGCCTAAAATGGAATACATTGTTTTAGTTGAGTCTTGAAGGGAATTTCATAATTAAGAAAAACAAATTAAAACTGAAGATATTCTGTCCCTTCAACACACAGTCTCACTATTCTCACCCTCGTCACATGAATATTTTTGTAAAATAAAGCAGTCTACGCAATTAGAACAAAATATTTTTTTGCAGAGTACCACCTGACTAGAGATGTTGCGAACTGTCCGCCGAACTGTTCGCAAACTGTCCGCCGGCGAACAATAGCGTGTTCGTGTTGGGCGAACATATCCGATTTCCGGTCCGCCCCCTATACGTCATCATTGAGTAAACTTTGACCCGGAACCTCGCCGGCGGACAGTTCGCGAACAGTTCGGCGGACAGTTCGCGACATCTCTACACCTGACATGTTAAGAACTAACACAATAATGCTGTAGTTGTATTTAAACATCTAAATTGATAACAACATTCTATTTGTAAGTTCCACCACATAAAAATGTAACAATTATCATACAAGTTACATTTGTAATCATTCAATTCTGAGGGACACAATAGCAGTAGGTAGATGTTAGTTTTATGTATGTTTTGTGCAAAATCCTTTTAAAACTAATTCCATTTTGTCTGTGACAAGGTTGAGAATGAGGGATCAAAATCAGAAAGAAAATGAAAATAATGAAAGGGCTTTAATGCCTGAGGCTGGAAAATATGATTTCTTAAGGGTTTCATAAGAGCCCAATGATGTTGAGTATTTAGAAATTAATAAAATTTAGTTGAAAAAAAAATCCAAGTTGAAATATGACCGAATACCAGGAATGAGGTACTTATGCTAAAACCAGTAAACATTATCACGTTGATTCATTAAACAGAATAAATAGAACTGCTGCTGCTGAAATAGGTTATGCTCTAAACTTAGGCCTCAATTTAGTAAGCTTTCCAAATTATTGAAAACAAAATGATTTATGTATGAAAATTCCCATAGACTGTAGCGACTTTTTCAGATAAATAATTTGTAAAATTTTCTACCTGTGCCGAATCATTTGGAAATAATATTAAATTAATGTCTCATTTTTTTTTGTAAATCTTTATTTTGGATGTGCAACAAAAGATTAACATACAGGCTTGCATTGCCACGACAGCATCAACAAGCTTAATGTAGACAAACATTTGCATTCAGTGCCATGACATGAGAAACAATTGCACTTTTTTTAAGTGTTAAAGAGACATGCTTCATTATATGCTGTAATATAAATCTTCAAATGTTACAGGCTAGAGAAAGGGGGCACAGGTTAGGTAGGCAAGTATTTTATGTAAGATAGTTAGCAAGATAGAAACAGGCATAACAGAACATTTTATTCTACCCTGTGTGCTGGATGGTACACATATAGTGGCTGTCAGGCTTAAACATGACTTAGATGTGAAACTTATATATGCAGTGTGTGATATCTGCTGGGTTTAGAGATTAGGTTCTGGTGGATATTGCATCGTTTTAGATTTAAGAGCCACCGAATAGATAAATAGGTAGGGGAAACAGTGGGTTAAGTAGCTTGCTGGGGGGGGGGGAGGAATCTCATGCTTGTAAAACATATCTAGTTCCCCTATGACTATAGTGCCTGGGTAGTAATGAAGGTACTTTTACGATATAAATCAGAGGCTGTACAGTGCTATGTTAAGCTACATGCTGCGAGTAACATCACTAGTTCAGATCAGGCTATTAGGTACAGTGCGTGTTTCTGTGCAGGTCTAGGTGAGGGCGTTGGTGAGTGTCTTCAGCCCACTCTGCCTGGCAGGATAGCGCAGTGGTCTTGGGAGGCCAGGTCCTCATGCCACAATGGGGGGCCCTGTCCGTTCCACTCACATTCTTCCGCGGCAGGAGGTCTTTTGACGGGCCTGGGTGTGGGTCATTTCCAGCTGCTCATGTGCTTGTGGAGTCTGCGTGCCACCTGTCTTCAGCCTGCGGCCTTAAAGGGGACTCGTGTCGTTGTGCCATGGATCCTATTTTGAGGGTCGTTGGCCCGGGGTGCTTCCGGTTCTTGGAAAAATCCCCGGGTATATGGCTGGCATTGGAGAGGTACCTCCGTGTGAGTGCCCGGCCCAGAAGAAGGGCATGTGGCAGAGACTGCAGCATTCTCTATGCGCATGGCTGGGTTTGTTAGTTCGTTGAGGCTGTTCGCTGATAGAACTTCCGCCTGGGGCTGTGTGGTGTGAATGATAGGCTGCTGCGTTTGCTCTGCCCGGGCTGCAATCCGGCCCCAGAACGTTGCACATATCTTGTCAAAGGCAGCATTAAACTTAGTTTCCCATGTCGGTTCAGGGTTTTTCCTTGCTCCGTCGGCCATGTTGGTTGCGGCTCAGGAGCAGGAAGCGGCGGCATGTGTTGGTGAGATGCTCTCGGCTTTCTTTTCCCCAGCAGGGACCGGGATTACCCCCGGGGGTGGGGGGGTTGCTTGCATTTGCTTGTCGGTCCCAGGTTGGAGGATCGGCCGTTTCCTCCTCCCATGGGTGCCTCCACATGAGTAGGCCTCAAATGCGGCGTTTGGCTTCAGGACGGCGGGCGAGTCTCCGGAGTCGTCTGCTTGTGCTCCCCAGCAGTTATTTTCAGAATGCAATCTCGTTTGGTGCTGTTTTAGGCCGGTGCTGTTTGTACCCGGTTTAGTTTGGATTGTGTGAGGAGCTCACCACACACACACGTCTGTCAGCCGTGCTGGTCAGGCCCCGCCCCAATTAATGTCTAATTTTGAACATCCATGATATTTATACTTCACAAGTTGGCTTCCAAGCATAATTGAGCTCACCAAGTGAAAATGTTTTACCCTGGTGCAAGTGCTAGGAAAGCAGAGGGAATAGAAATGCAACTGATTTTGCAGCAAAGTTATGCTAGTTAGTGAATAGCATTTTGGCATCGTATGCTGCACAAAAAAAAGTCAAATGGGCTTAAGTGAATCACTGTCAGGTCACCAAATTCTCATGTTCAGTAAAGCTAAATCTGACGGAATTCAGTAGGTCCAACTAGATCTGTAGTAATCAGTTGGATGCATTTGGTGTCTGGATTAAAATTAGTGATTTCGCATTAAAACCCTTTACAAAGTAGAGGATTCTGAATATTCACAAAGCACTGGTTTTAAAAAAAAACCTTGGAACCGAATTCCATCAGACTGGATGCACGTTGACAAACTATGTGGCTGCTCACTGTAATAAAAAACTAGAAACTGGGCAGCCATTGCAGCCCAGTTGCTAGAAAGGTGGGGAGGGGGGGGGGAGCAAAAATCCAGATATTAATGAATAGTGGTTTTGCCCTGTTTGGTACAGGGCCATTCAGAATTTACTGAATAACCTATGTGTGTACTTTGATCTGGAGCTTTCAAGGTGGAGTGTTTTTGGAGAACCCTTCGCTGCAAAACAGTTGAATTTCGTAACATGAACATATTATTTCATGTTTATTTAGAGTATACTCTAAATGTCGTGCAACTGCATTAAACAATGCTGACCCATAAGATATTTTGCTCATTTTAAACTGGCTACCTCTGGGCTGTGCAAATTGTTTCCTAAAATAATAAGGTGAGAATGAATGCTCAAGTACTTTTGTCTGTACAATTACAAATGTCTCCATTGTTAATTTTCATAGCCCACCTTTTACTCTACTGTTTCTGTATCAGCCATTGAGTTCCATTATCATAGTGTTTGGGTGCAGGAGCCCAAAAGCTTCCAAAGTACAACCTGAGAATAATGGATGGATGTGTCTCTAGCACACCAAACCATAATCATGTAAAGATGTCTGTAAAACACTGCTACACACGAGAGACCTTTAACATTGAGATAATTAGCAGAGATGTGGTTTTGGCATAATTTCAGAAAAGGATATACATACATGTTTTTTTGATTAATTCAATTTTTTATTTCATCATTTGGTGGTTATATTCCAAAGGGAAGAGCCTGTAATTATTCAAAAACAAGCGTATATCAAACTGCAAAATTATTTTCCCCATAGGATGACAAAAAAAAAATCTTCATATTTAAATGCAATCATAGGCTAATTGCATTTTGTTGTCTAGCATTAGCGATATACCCTAATGAGCAACTAATTGCAGTATGAATAGTAGGGTGAGGATTATTGTTAATTAGTAAATTAATTCATATCGGTGACAGTAATGTCAGTTTACTAATATTCTGTAATTGAGAGCATCCAATGCCATGCAGGACAAAATAGCTTTATTCACTAAACTTTGAGCTGCAATGCACTGATGAAAGAGTTGCTATATTTAGGCCAAAAAAACACATAAAGAAATTCTCTAACTAAGCAAATTGATGGGTTATGAGAATGGTGCAAGTTTGTCAAGCAGTGCAGGATGATGTTTAACAGAGACACTATCACCCAGAAAATGTTTAAGCTTATTATATGTCGCGCTAATTGTGACACAGTATCTATGGCTGCACCCGTGGTCTTGCGAGATCATCCATAGACATCACTGTGGTACTCTTGCGCATGTGCAAGAGTACAGCACTCACATGGGCTTCTGGGGACAGCATCAGGTAAGCATAAAAAAGATACAATTATGGTGGCCAAAAATATATAAAGTATAGTTACACTTAGAGGGACACTATAGGCACCCAGACAACTTGAAGGTGCTCATTGAAGTGGCCTGTGTGCAGTGTCCCTTCACATTTAGTCCTTCAATGTAAAACATTGTCGTTTTAGAGAAACTGCAATAATTACATTGCAAAACTAAGACAGCCTCTAGTAGCTGTTTTTCAGAGGAACTTCCTGGTGGCTAGGTGACTTTGGTCTGTATGAGGACATCCAGCATCACAGCTTCAGTTTAAATCCCCATAGGAAAACATTGATTAAATGCTTTCCTATGGGAAGAGCTTAACCCCTTAACTGCAAAGTATTCTGGGTGGGCACTACCAAGCCTCAAAAAGCAAACCAGTAACCAATCTCATGCTAAAGAGTTGCATTAACAACGAAACTGCTGTCCATGAGTGGTTCACTGGTTTTGCATCTTTTCCTAAATTGTGTTCCAAGCAGTTGTATACTGCAAACACAGATTAAAAGGAATCCGTGTTTAAAACGGAAAGAGGCAAAAATGTGATTCTTTGTTAAACTAATTTGCATATGCCCACCCAGAATCCTTTGCGGTTGTAACATCACTGCAGATTTGGGATTTCTGTGGGAAAAGCAAGTCTTATGGTTTGACTGGTGTGCAGATTTTTGTTTAACATTGTATTAACTATCCACAGACTTCAGGTGGAAGGGGTTTTCAATCACAATTTTTCCCCACCATAACCTATATCTTATATATATATATATATATATTATATCATACTAAGTGTATTTTTATATTAATATATACATATATTTTTATTAATATATACATATATTAATATAAAAATACACTTATATATTATATATACGTGTGTAATTTAATTGTAATAACTATATCTATTGTATATATATATTATTATAAAATATAAATAATAAGTAAATTAAAATTAATAAAAAAATAAATAAAAATTATATATATAATTTTATTCTAACTGCATTTTGTTTTTCATATATATATTTATATAAAAATACACTTAGAATGAAACTATTTATATCTATATATATAAATAACTAAAAACAATACTATATATATATTTATATCCATATACATAATTACATAAATCATTTCATAAATATACACGTAAACTTCAAATATATAAATCTGTATATATATTTAAATTCTACATGCATATTAATGTAATATTTTTACATAATTAAGTAATTTTATTGATTGCAATTTGAGGGACCTGCCTGACAACCCAGGCTGAAAGTCCTGAGAATTTAATTTGCTAGCACTGTATTTAACCCTGAAAATGTCCATGACACCCTAAAACCTGTACATGGGTGGGTACTGTTTTACTTGGGACACTTCGCTGAACACAAATATTAGTATTTCAAAATAGTAAAACAAATCACAGCGATAATATTGTCAGTGAAAGTGACTTTTTTTGCATTTTTCACACACAAATGGCAATTTCACTGATGATATCATTGTTGTGACACGTTCTACTGTTTTGTAACACTGATATTTGTGTTCAGCGAAGTCTCCCGAGTATAACTGTAACCACCCAAGTGCAGGTTTTATAGTGTTTTTGAAAGTTACAGGGTCAAATATAAAGCTTGATTTTCAGTTTTTTTTCCCATTGAAATTTGCCAGATTGGTTATGTTGCCTTTGAGAACGTATGGTGACCCAGGAATGATAATTACCCCCATGCTGATATACCAGTTGCAAAAGAAGACATCCCAATGGCGAGAAAAACTGTTTATAATATGTGTGGGTACAGTAAATGAGTAAGAGAAAACATACAACTAAACACAAACACAGCAGGAAGGTAAGAAAATTGAAAAACGGTCTGGTCACTAAGGGGTTAAAGTACTAAACATGTAACAAGTAGCTGTGATCCTTGAATAATATTTAAAGGAACACATTTTTACTTGGAAGTGTGGACTTTTAAGTCCCCTATGTTTGATAAAGAGGACATGGACTTCATCGACATTTGGAATTAATTAAACTCTAGAAAGTCTTTCCATGCGTGTAGGAATTACACAAAAAGGAAAGAAAAACTCTGTGCTTAACAAGGCGATAGAAATAATCTTTGTCAATTATCACCTTTTTTTGGAGACTGAAGATTATCAGAAGGTATCGAATAGAAAAGTTATAACTAGAAAAAGTACAGAAAGAAGCAAGCTTTAAGAACTGTGATAGAGATCACTATGTGATTACAAAATGGGGCATGTGAAGAAAGTTCAGAGGAAGAAAGTGGAATGGCAGAAATTGGACTTTTTTTTATTTCACTAACAGGATTATTTGCCACGGTGATTATTCATTAGAGAATGAAAAGTGAATTTTAAATTTAAGGTCAAAATAAATGAATTGGAACTCCTCTAAGTTTAGCTAGCTTGGCCTTAAATTTTAAATTTACTTTAATTTCTCTCTTTAGAAAATAACCCTGTTTTTTCTTTTTTTTTCTTAAATGAACACTATAGTCACCTAAACAACTTTAGCTTAATGAAGCAGTTTTAGTGTATAGATCATGCCTTTCCGGTTTTACTGCTCAATTTACTGCCATTTAGGAGTTAAATCACTTTGTTTCTGTTCATGCAGCCCTTGCCATACCTCCCCTGGCTATGATTGACACCGCCTGCATGAAACAAACTGGCTTCACTTTCAATCAGATGTAATTTATCTTAAACA